CAAAACCTAGTGTATCCTTAGGCCCCACGTTTTTGCTCTGAAAACACAACAACAGTTGCAGAAGAAGAATTGAAGTTTTTCCCTTCATATAATGTGACATGAGCACTATCCAAAAAAAATATTGCTGGTTTCAGAATGTTATATGCCGATAGACAAAACAGTTTCCAGTAAAAATCAGTGATAATATCCTCCCTGCCAACAACTTGTTTATTGTTTCATGTATTTATTACAATTTAATGGAAATGAAGAAAATAAAATAATTACTTATAACAAAGGATTAATGCCATAAGGATGGTCTGTAAGAGTCCAGGACCCCATCCTCAGACAGACCACCCGACTATGTAGTTTGAAAATGTAATTTAATATGATTAACTTAAATCTGATAAAAAAATTCGAATATGTGTGACTATGAGTTTTTGATAATTTTACCAGTGTAGTTCGGATTCATTAAGAAGTTCCTCACACCATGCTTAAAACTTGAGATACTAGATGCTGATCCAATTGAAAATGGGAGTGAATCCCAGTTATCAACAATGCGATTAGAAACACTGAACTTTGGACATTGGACCAGCTTCAACCATAAGTTAAATGTAATGGATAACTTTGTTCAAGGTCTGTCAATAAGTAAACCCACAACTGTGAACCCCAACTATTCATTGGCCATGGTGCTCTAAACAATGCTTTGTTAGACCTTAATTACCATGTTAATGTTGTATTTGAGGCAACAACTACATCATAGAGATATTAAGTAATGCAACTTTAAGAACATAATAATATCAATAATAATCTAGCAATAGACGTTCCATTGGGTGGCTCTTCTTGTCCACCGTTTACAGATTGAATTGAAATTTGGAATGTTGGTTTTTGTGGACGGAGGAAAACTGGAGGACCCAGAGAAAAACCCTTAGAGCAAGGATTAGAACCAACAACAAACTCAACCCACATTATGCCAGGTCTATAAATCGAACTGGGCCACAGTGCTGGGAGGCAAGTGCTCTCACTGCCACACGTCGCAGTGATATAAACATACATATATATATATATATATATATAACTGCAGACAGTACTGTTTTGGCCTTCTGGGCCTCATCAGTGCAGTGCTGATGCTAGGATGGGGGAGAACCGACATGGATCCCCAAACTTGTGGTATCGTCTAAGCCATGCTAGAGTGCTCAAACTAGAAGAGCCTAGTGAGCTATGCACAATGCTAGTGGCGATGACTCATCCCACAGTGCTCAATTTGGACCTGAAAGCAGAGCTTTGTATGCCAAAGAGCTATATCTAACAGCAGACAGTACTGTTTCGGTCTTCTGGGCCTCATCATTGCAGTGCTGATGCTAGGATGGGGGAGAACCGATATGGATCCCCATATTATATATATTTAACAATTATTCGCCGAAGGCAAGGTGGAAAGCGTCGAATAATCCCCGAGACGAAGTCAAGGGGATTATTCGACAATATTCACTGAACCTGAGGCAAATAATTGTTTTAGTATAATTTCAAAGCTAAACAACAGAGGAATTTCTAAAAATAACATTTTAGTAACATTTATTAACATTTTAGTTTAACATTTTATATAAACCGCGCGGAGTGGTTTATATAGCATCATATAAGGAACCGCTCGACCAATCAGATTGCTGGAAACTCTTTGCTCAGCTCCGAAATTATACTTAATATACATATAATTACAACAAACTGGTTCAAGACTTCAAAGGTAGTTCATCGTTTTATAAAATGACATTAATTATAAATTGACCATCAACTAAAAAGTGATCAATGGGTTTACTAGAGCGTTAAATAGATATGTAGACTTGGATTAGGTCAAAACCATTTGCTTTTGCTACATAGCACTGCACTGATGAGGCCCAGAAGGCTGAAACAGTACTGTCTGCAGTTAGTTATATATATATTTAAATCAAAATAATCCTATGTATGATACATGCTTCCATATATAGTATATAGAGATTTGTTTATTGTCTCAGCTAACTAAATAATTTGAAGATTCAATTTAGAAAATGTATGTATACTTATTTGAAAACATAATGGTTTGGTGACAACATTGCAATCAAATAAGAGATCTTACTTGTATAGGAAAGTAGCATCAGTCTTTATGTAAAAAACAATTTCACAATTAATTTGGGAATAATTTTGCGATATAGTGTAGGTAGTTAGACTTAGACAATTGCTGTAGATAAGAGAGTAATGTTAGGAAAGTATATGACTCAAGGCCTACTGATAATGTATTTTTAACTCAAACTATCATGATGCCTGTGACCCCGCAGGCAGTAATTCAATAAAATAATAAAAAAAATCATGTTGAGGGACTCCTAAAATCATGTACAGAAATGTCTCATTACAATTTCAGAACTACAGTGTGTCATTATTGAGCAACAATTTCAATTGACTGAACTTTTCTGTCAAGGGTTGCAGTTCCAACTGGCTAAGGATTTGTGTAGTTCATATGAAATGTATAGGTTTCAAACATAGCTGAATAACGTCAAAGGTATGTGGTCAATAAAGCAGGCTCAAGTATGCCAGGATTGAAATTAAGTGAAATTTGTAAAATAATGAGACAACATTTAAAACCGAGGGATTTTGTTGTCATCGAAGGCATTTTCCTATTTCCAAAGTTTTTAAGGAGAAAGTTAATTTTTGAAAATATTTAGGGGGTGTATATGGTTTTGGAAGTTGTTTTGCAAGAGAAAAGCAGCAAGGAAAACAATGCCTCAAAGCAACAGAATAAAAATCAACCATGCAAACTACTCAAAATCCGTGTTTTCATGCCAAAACCTTGTGTGTATGTTTTGAAAGTCATCAAAAAAAAGTACAGGAGAACAACCTCACAGGCTAGGTGAGAGCAATTATTATCAGAATTCCAGAAATATCACTGACGTAGTAAATGAATTGCTTGACCTTTGTCACAAGTTCATAAAACCATAAGACCAACATCAATCACTTATTTTATTCACTTAGTTACCATAACAATTGCATAACAATTTCACAGTATGTAGATTCAATTCAACTTATTTTATCAGCTGAGAATTAACATTTTAAGTAAGCACCAAAAAGAATTAAAAACTAGGTACATTCTGTGAAGACAATAAAATCAATCTAAGACTTGGTTAACTCAAAAAAATGTGTTGATGCCACTTTCAGAGGCAGTGTAATCCTGTTTCTGAGGTACAGGTGACAATACAATAAAAATTTATATCATGAACAGTCAACAATGCATATTTACTGCAAACAGAGTTTTAGAAAAACACCTTTCTAAAATATCAGCTTTGTAATTTATGGATGGTTGCCAACACCACTGCTTTTACACGATTCTCCTTCCACCTTCCAATTTGTTATTTGAGTTGCTGAATCATGGATATTACGTACAAGTATTTTAATGAACTAACTTCCATTCTTCTCTGTTGAACTCATCTGTTTCGCCTATTAAGGCCACTCATATTACGCACCTGAAAACAGGGAAAATTCAATAAGATAAATGCATCAATGAACCAATTGAATATATTAAAAGGCTAGAGGCAAGGATGGCTGTAACTTGTATCTGGACAAAGTGTAATCAGGATAAAACAGCAGCAGCAACATGCTGCCATCAAATTTTCAACTCATTTCCAAACACATTATGAATAGTTAAATTTGATTGCAGTTTGTATACTATTAATGTCAGCTCCGCAAGCAGCACTATCATGTGCCTTCATCACTCAAGGCCAACTTAGGTAAGGTAAGTTAAGGTAACACCTTTATTTAAAGAGGGTAAACATGTGACAGTTATAAAACTGATAAACTCGTGGCCCTCTATAAACATAAAATCAATGTCAACATTAAAGAAATTCTCCACTATCTGAAAAATAGACACAAGTCAAGAAATGAGCAAAATTAGTATTTAAAAACTATCCAGAGTCTTAGTAGAAATCTTACCTTAAAAACTATTAACTATCTAAAACAAGTCATTTAGCAGACTTGATAAAATATGCTACTTAACTATTTAAGAAATAGTCAAAATTTCCTATCTCTCTTTGCTTAGCTATTAAATTTGTATTCAACTTTCAACAGAAAACACCCTCCAAATTATCAGCACTCTTTACTATTAATTTTTGTACAATGTAATTTTTCTTAATTATCTCAATGGTCCAAAAAGGCTAAAGTTTCTTTCAAATAATGGTTTATGTTTTCACAATAGCCCCCATTGCTATAACTATTAAAACCACTTCCAGAGAATCAGTTTGAATAGGAAAGTAAAACATACTGTAGTAAAGGCAGCAGACAACAGCTCAGCAGCATCTGATCCAGCTTTCTCAAGCTAAAAAAAAAAAATTAGCTCACAGTGTAAACTATGCATAATGTGGAAGGCGGACTGGTAACATGGTATAAATGTGGAGGACAGACTGGGTAAATTGTGCACTTGTGCACTTGTGCACTTGTGTAAGACAAACAGATTACACTGCACAAAATGTGTAAGGCAGACTGGGTACACTGTGTTAGTGTGAGAGGCAGACTGGGTTCACTATGCAGATGTGTATAGCAGACTGGTTATACTGTACTAATGTATAAGGCAGACTGGGTACACTATGCAAGTGCAAGGTAGACTGGAACATTGGACATTGTTCAGTTCTTTTTCTTGTTGAGTGTAAAAAGACATTATGCTGGTATCTTAACTTACAGGGCCTCAACAATTGATGAGAATCCATGATAGAAAAAATTAGCCAATCAATTGATGTAAAATTTTGAAAAAACAGTCATAATTATTTATCGTCAAACAATAAGGTACTTTTTCCCTCATTTACTTACAGTTTCTTTGGCACCAATAAGTAAACCAATATCAGACATTCTCCTGTCAAGGAAACTCCAAGTATCTTCAAAATCAGATGACCTATCAGTCACCATATAAAGTTCTGTAGTAAAATAACAAACCTACTATCACATTTAAGATTCTCTAAGATGACCAATGAAAGTAAAAGGCTCTGACCTAAATTAAGTATCCTTGTCACGAATAGAAGGACTGAAGAGCACCTGAAAAGTGATACACCTTCTCAGAGGAATGGCAAGTTGAAGAAATTTGCAAAAATTGTTCTAACAGCACCTCTGTCACAGTTACAGCAAATGACAAAAAACAGAAAACATTACACAAATATATATTATATCTGCTTGTAACAAATAAACATAAAGTTTTCAGGTTAAGAAAAAAATTACCTAATGCTTTCATTTACTCTGGACTTGAAATTCAAACCAACCAAAACTGCTTATAATTACCTAAGGTAGTCCAACTAAAATACCATACTATTATAATTTTCTGGTGGATGCCATTAGTAACTATGACTCCATAACTGAATTTAAATCAACACTTGGTGCTTCTTAGCCATTATAAATTTCCCATAGCTTAAATACACAGTCCTTCCCTCCGAAAAATCCTATCGAAATGTTGTTTAATTCATTGTTGGTAAATAAATATATTATATCTTCGTGGTTTTAACTGGCCTGTGGCACCATACAGTCCTGCCAACACTCCTCTCTTTGTGTACCAGTTTATCTGTAAGGTGTGAAGTATTATTAGTAAATTACTGATTCACTTCATAGCTGTCTTGACACAAGACCTTAATACCCATTAACAGTTAATACAAGTTGTGGGTAGAAGAGTATTAGTGGAAAATCAACTCAATTGCTAACAATTGCTTAAACATTGTGGCTATCCACTATGGGGAACACACTAACCATTGCTTCATGATGTAGTCATTTCTAATGTGGATTAATATTGAAAGTGTGTCATGAGACAAGGCAGGGACGGCAAGATCTTATATAATACAGAGAGAATAAGTATTACTTTAATAGTGTGACTTCATTCTATAATCATCATTATTTTCATTTATTATAATTATGGCTGTGTCTCACAAGGACTGGGAACTACAGAATTTACAAAATTAATTTGATTGGCTGAAATCAATATTGAAAGCGGTCTAGATTTTCCCATCTAGACCGGTCTAGAAAAAAAAGTTACAAAGAATATAATGTTCCGTTACTTTCTAGACAGAGCCATATAATAAACATCTTATTAACCGAGCTAGGTTGGTCTGTATGGGAGAATCTTGACCTCGGTCGCTGGTACAGACCTCACTGCCTTTGGTCTGTACTGGTGACCTCGGTCAAGATTCTCCCATACAGACCTCCCGCTCAGTTAATAAGAACTAAGTAAAGTAAGATAAAGTTCAGTATGGAAAGTCTTTTGGCTTTTGATCTTGAATTTAAAAGCAAAGTATCATGTTTTAACTTCTTACATCTGTTGAGGTGTCACCAGCATGATACCATATCTCATCCACCAAATATGCAACATTCTTCATGGCATCAGGTGCATTCTGGGGTAATAACATCAAACCCATGGCCTGTGTGGCAAGGAGAACAGAAAATTGACAATCACCATTAAAAATGCAACTTACACTCATCTTCAAAAAAAGAGCATGTTATTATCATGACTGATAGACATAGTATCACAACAAAGCTGGTCAAATCCACTGACATACAGCTCTAACTGCTGAAAGTTAGACCCACACTAAACTCTGGGTGAGTGTAAGGAAGTCTTCATTCTTTGCATCACTGTTTGCTTTGCTGCATGAGTTGGAGGTGCTTGGTGTTCATGAAGCCATTGTCTGTTGGGTTGGTGCCTTTTTGGTTCGCCGGCTGCAATGTGTTAGGATTAATGGTCAACTGTCCTCAGCCATCTCGCCTCATGGTGGTATCCCACAAGATATGCACTTGGCTCCCCTTCTCTTCGCTATACTTGTGAATAGCCTGGTCAGTGAATGGTGTACTCATCTTAAGTACATTGATGACCTTACCATCTTGGAACTTATTCCCAGGAACTCTAATAGTTATCTGGCCATCATCGCATCTAATGTAAATAAGTACTCCCTAGAGCGCAATATGAAACTAAACCCTAAGAAGTTTAAAGAGAACTGATGGTTGTTGACCTTCTCCAGTATAAATCAACTTGTTCCAGCCCTCTACTAATAGGGGGTACCCTCATCGACAGGGTATCCCAGTACAAACTGCAGGGGGTCATAGTTTCTGATGACCTTCCATGGAACCCACATTGTGAGTACATATATGACAAAGTTTCCAAGTGCCTCTACGGGTTGAGGATTCTTAAGAAAAGTGGACTTTCACCTTCCCAATTAGTAGGCCTAGCCACAAGTTGCTGATGAAACCCAAAAAAGTTGCAGATAAAAGTGTCTAAAAGTTGCCAAAAAGTTGCTGAATTTCCAAAAAGTGCCAAAAAGTTGCCAAAATTTTTCTGCTTTTCGTACCTTATTTGTGTGTTAAAGATAAAAAATTCGCACATTGCTTCTTATCAAAACTTTACTTGTCAAAGTCCAATGATAATATCAGAGATTCTTTCCATTTCACTTAATCAACAAATAGTCACTGTAATTGTCAGCCATCTTGAAAAACGTGCAACGTGATACCACTGACCTTGTGATGAGGCATCACAAAAATCAACCCATGGGGGTCCCTAATTATTGTATTTTGGAATAAATTGAATAAATGTCTATCAAAAACTTCACCAATGTGGCTCAAAACATGATGAAAGTGGCTTCAAAGAATCTCAAAAAGCCCAAAGTTGCCGAAAATCTCAAAAGTTGCCGAAAAGTTGCCGAGCAACTTGTGGCTAAGCCTACCAATAATAGTATCTGTATATTGCAGTACGATGATTCGCTCTGTGCTGGAATATGTGTCCCCTGTATGAGCCTACTTAAGTGACCTTTTAGAACAAATCCAGAGGTAAGCTCTTTATATTGTCTTTCCTGATTTTTGTTATAGCAAAGCACTACATCTTGCTAACCTTGAACTTGTTAGCTTGCATGAATTTTGCCAATTTCTGTAATGTGTCAGGAACACTAAGTAGTCTCTTTCGGGTTCCCCTGGTTTATTACCAAGGTTATAATTTAATGCTCAGGCTCACAATCATATCAGGCCTCTACTGGCAAATGCAAAAGATTTAATGATTTTGTAACTGTCAAATTTCAAAATGTGTGTGCGACCGTCCTCTGTAATTCAGTTGTTACTGCAATAGGGTTGAATAAACGATTGATTGATTGATTGTTATTGTTTGGAGTACAAAATTATCCAACCCATCTGACATAACTCCCTTGTACCACACCCCAAAAAGTGCAAGGGAATGATCCTTAAACAAAATCATTTTATCAGTCCCTTAGGCAGTTTAAAAACTAACCAGCATCTCATAAAGTGGTCCTTAAGTTCTAACCTGTTAGGTGTAACTATTGACAACAAGCTTACATGGACAAAACACATATCAGAGCTCAAGAGAGGGTTTTTCAAGAAGCTCAATCTAATCAAACATGGCTGCTTTTTACCCAGGAATTCGCTTCTAGACCTACATTTTAAAATCATTTTATCCTTGGTCACATAATTTATGTGCTACCAATTTGGGGGTGTTGCAAAAACAAAAACGAATTTAATTCTTTGGAATCCATACATTGTAGGGCTGCCAGAGTTATATATAACCTTGCGTACAACATGCCCTCTGAGGATGTAAGATGAAAAACTCTATCTCTCCCAGAATAATAATAATAATATAATAGGCTACATTTATATAGCGCCCATATCCTGGGCTCATGGCGCTTTACAATACTGTGCGGGGGACTTTACTAGACTGCCAGTGCCAGTTTACAATCAACAAAGGCGAGTTGTTTTTTTTACAGATGCCCCAATTCCCAGTAACCAGGCCAGACCACATCACAGTAATCTTGTGATGTGCGTTCTTTAACGTCCCCTGCCTAATCAAATTAACTTATTAAAGATGCAGGAGATGGGACGTACGGTTTATTCGTCCATGTCTGAGAAGACTAGAATTTCTATCCATTTCTTGATATTATAGAAAGGTAGCAAATCCTCCTCAGTTATTTTAAGACCATGAGTGTTGGTCCGGCCGGGGCTCAAACCCTTGACCTCCCGCACAACAGTCCAGCACTCTAACCAATTGAGCTAACCAGGAGGCGGTTAGCTCAATTGGTGAGAGGATCCATTGTTTGGAATATTTAGAACCATCTGCTGTCAGCACCAGGGACTACGCCAAAAGGGCAAAAAAGTCTCACGCCCTCAGAAACTTGAACGTTAATGAAGAGTCACCACAAATGGGCCATCCCAAAATTGACAGGGATTTACATGGCCCCATAAGTTACATTAGCATTAAAACCCACCCTATTTAAATAAAAGATGTTGTTGTTGTTGTTATTATTGTTTGGAGTACAAAATTATCCAACCCATCTGACATCAGGACAGAAATTTTTCTTACCTGAGGCCAATGGTCAATAAATGGAATGAGCATTCTCAGTCGCACCTCCACAGCATCACGGATAATAATTTGGGAACTCTTTTGCCTGAATAAAGTTGAATAAAGTTGAATTAATTTAATTCTCTGAAACTAATTATAAATTTACTTTAACAATGTACATTAGATAACAACACTTAATTTTATCTTTGAGGATTTGAGGAATTTTTTTAAAAAAGTGGGCAGAAAATGAGAGAGAGATCCTACAAATATGAGAGAATACAACTTGTATCTCCAAAGAACCATAGAATGTTATATTTGTTGCATGTATTTAATAATATTCAAATTATTCCTCAAAAACGGTGGCCATCATTCTGCATAATAGGTGCATCTGGTGTAATGTTATTGGTAAATTAAAAACTGCACTTTCTTTTCATGATATGATTTAAAAATCTCCAAAGACAAATTCAACCCAAGTTGCAGTTTGATGGTAATTATTATGAAAATGGCCTACAATACTTGCCAACAGCAATGGAGATTTACCTGATTACCATGAACAAAACTGATAACATGAATAAGATAGATTTACTATCCAACTGCACTACGTAGAGCACAAATAACATACATGTTGCAGGTAATTTTTTTTCTAAGGTAAATTGATTTTGATTTTTTTACTAGGTACAATTTTTTAACCTGGGTAATTTTGCACCACAATATTTTTTTCATTTGCCATGGGGTAACTGACTCTTTTATTGGGTTTTGCCAAGATAAGGATATAACAATCTGAGAGAGTAAGATTTTCACTGCAATCAGCCTGATTCTGTCAGTTAGTCAATCAGAGGATTACATCATGGGTAAGGGCTGAGGGGTTAGGGTTAAGGGTTAAAGTTAAGGATTAGGTTTGTGGTTAAAGGTAAGGCTTAGGATTCAGATGTACCACCAGACTGAAGAAGAGAAAAAAGAGAGATAGATTTTGAAAAAAAAAAAATAGATGGTTTGCTTTTACATTTAAAACACAACAAATATAAAAATAAACTTGAAAGCAGGTTTATTGTCTATTTTAACATTGCCGTTTTACATGCTGCTGTAAACATTATTTCTTTAGTAGTTTCAAAAACAATATTTGGGCTGGAGCATTTTGTCAATCTTGAGGATGAAATGAGAGTTGTTATTGAACCAAATTTGGTTGCTATTCTTGCATAATTATGCGTTTTCCATTTCAACTATTTTCCCAAATAGAACATTGGGTGAAGCGCAGTACTCCTATCAATCTCATCAATTTTGGCACAGACATAATCACTGACTTCAAATTTGGCTGCTTCAAATGGTCTGTTAACACTTTTTTGTTGTTGGTGTAGATGGCACAGACCGACAAATAGTGTTACAACATGTTGAGATATTTCTGCATACGTCCTCTTTACAAATTCTTCAGTTTTATCTCTCCCGCAGTGTGCAGTTGAAGAATGAGCTTGGTATAATATGTCGTAAAGTTGGCTTTTTAATTTTTCGGTCCTTGGACAAGGTTTTGTCATTTTGAATGGTCCATTGCTTTCGCTTAATCGTCCCTACATGTCTTTGTTAGTCCAAACTGCTCATGATTCTTGCTTTTATTTTTGAGCCATTTCTTAGCATTCTCATAAAATTCATCATCTATGAAGACAGTCAATTTACTGTTCCTTTTTTTGGAGCCTTTAAGGGCATCCAACTTTTCGTAAAACGTGTCTTTAGCGACACAAAACAGTCAACCATCTGGCTGCTTTCTTCGCTTTCAATGAACAAGTCCCATTTTCATACAAGCGCATATGTGCACGTTTTGCATAAATTAAACTTTGACCGAGGTGAGTCTGGGACCAAAGAAAGAATAAATAGAAGAAAAAAAAATGGAAATTCCTAAATTGAGCAGTGTGGTATAGAGAAGAGTGTGATGGACAGGAGACCTGAACTGCTATGAAGGTTGTTGGTTTGATATGCAGAGGGTAAGTAATACTTCTTTATTCTCGATGAAGTACAGGTATTAATATTAATGGAACACAAACTAGTGTGAAGCAGAATTGTGAGATAGTGAAAGAGTACAGGTTTATAGAAGGGGAAAGGGAGTAAGAGAGGAATGTGAAGGTGATGTTGTTCATTTTTTTT